AATCTCAAATACCAAGACCGGCTCGACGCTCCCTCGGACAAGCAGGTCGCCTACCTCAAGCAGATGGTGGCCGCCGGCTTCATCGACCACGTCGCCCTCCGCGCCGACAAGGCCCCCGTGCCGCCCGAGGTGACGCGCAAACCCGGCCGCGCTATCGACGTGCCCTACATCCCGCTCTCGCCGCTCGGCGTCGGCCACGGCGCGGAGAAGTACATCTACATCCACCCGACGTCGCCGCTCGCCCACCTCAGCCCGGCCGAGTGCCCCGAGTTCGTCGTGTACTCGCAGCTTCAGCGCGCGACGCAGGGCGCAGACGTGAACAAGACGCCCAAGACCAGGATGCTCGCGCTTACGGACGTCACGGGCGGGCAGCTCGCGAGCTTGGCCAAGGGCACGCCGCTCGTGAGCTACGGGAAGCCGGTCAAGGAGATTTCGTCGACGGCGAATACGCGCGAGGTGTGGGTTGTGCCGTACCTCAGGGCCGAAGGGGTCGGTGGTCAGGGGTGGCCGTTGCCGATGAAGAAGGTCGTGCAGCGCAGGGTTGCTGGTAAGGGATGGGTTGTTGAATGAAACGCGGGGGAATCAAAATTTGGTATAAGCATATTTTCAAAAGAATAGAATGGGTCACAAGACATTCACTGTTACTCTGTCATCTCCACCTTGGCGGCGATAATGAATCGTTGATTTACGGTGTTAAAAATTCGGTTTCTCTCTACAATACGGGGCCGACTAGAGTCAATTCTTCCCCCTCTGATTCAGTCCTTCGCCAGTCGTACCGGCATAGCCGCTTCTACGTAAGCGAATCGGGTGAGACGGTACCTTTGGATGGAAACTCCTCCTCGCCCGAATGCCAAACCTCCCAAAACAAGAGTCAAAACCGGCCGGTGATCCAACCACGTGGCGAGCTGGGCCGGTTGAATCGGTTCATAAACCTGAACCTTCTTTTTCCGACACAGGGGTTCTCTTCGCACTCAGTATGGACCATGCGTTCTCCTCCCTCCTTCTCCGTCTTTCTGTCTTCATCGGCTCGTTCGCGGATGAAAGGGGAGGGGGGGAAGACAAGTCTGAGATTCAGGCCTCGAGTAATACACGGCACACGCACTCGGACACGGGTGGCCCTAAGGGAACTTCGGACGAAGGAAATTGTGAAGCGGGTAAAGCTGCAGATGCACGCCCGTGGCCGGGCCCGAGCGAGACTTGACTTGCACTGTCGTTTTCCTTCGAGAAGGACGTTTTCCGTTTGTTCTAGTGTCATTTGTCGTCGATTCTATTCGTTCATCGAAGGAATACCAAATTTATAATCTTTCTGAACGAAGCCGAAGTGAAGCCCAAGATAGCAGATTAGGTATAGCCGACTATCGTGACGACGACCAACAAGCTTTACCTGTTGCTGATTCATATGCCAAAATTATTTTTTGTTTACAAAGCCGTTTCAATTCGGAATTCACTCTGCTCGAGTGTGGATTAGAGAGCTCTTACGCAATCCCGTACCCGTCACAGGACCGTCGTTACTTATAGAGAGTCCCCCTTCCCTCTTGCGGACCTGGCTCCGATGATATTGCAACAGCAAAGGTCGACCTGGAAGGAAAACGAAGCCCTCATTGACGAATGCATGAGCGCCCTCCGCGAGATTGAGATGAAAATGACACTCTTCTCAGGCGTCGCCGTGGTCACAGGCGCTGCTTCAGGTAAGGTCACACGTCAAAATCTCTGGCTCTTGAACGCCATAACATCCAATTATGAAATCAAGAAATGGGTGAGAGGGAGGATGAGATGGAATGCAAGCCTGGGACTGACAGAGTGATCTCAGGCATCGGCCGCCAGGTGGCAATCTCATTCGCCCGTGAGGGCTGCAAGCGCATCGCTCTGCTCGACAGAGATGAGGACGGCGCGCTGGAGACGGCTCGCATGTGCCGGGAGGCCAACGGGGAGACGCGCACTTTTGTCATGGAGATTGACAACCGCAACGACGAGGACATTGCATCGTGTATGGAGAATGTTGTAGAGGAATGGGGCCGGATCGATTATGCAGTTAACTGTGCTGGTGAGTCTATTCAAGATTGTTTTGCGACATCCCTAAGCATATCGGGAAGATTAATGACGGTAACTTGAAGGCATGTTTGGGCCAAAGGCACCGTCGCACCTCCTGACGCCCGCCGAGTTTGACGAGATCACCAACATCAACTACCGCGGCACATGGCTATGCTCGCGGGCGGAGCTCACGCATATGATTAAGCAGGAATCCATGAAGACGCACGACGGCAGACCAGGGAACCGGGGGGTCATTGTCAATGTTGCGAGCAATCTCAGCCTGGTTAGCCGGCCAGAGACACGTGAGTCCAAGCCGAGAATGCCTCTTTCTTTTCCATGTGTGAAGGACCACAGCTAACAACAATGGTAGCGGCCTACAACGCTTCCAAGGCGGCTATCTTAAGTATGACGAGAAGCGATGCCATCGATGTGGGTTTCCTTCTACGACGAGAGACTCCAAGTCTGACAGCTAGTAGTATGCAAAGTATAATATCCGCGTCAACTGCGTGTGTCCAGGGATCATTGAGTAAGTTCTGGGAGAAAACCGGATGAATGGTGTTGATCATGAGAACTGACCGAGACAATCCAGCACGCCCATGACAAGTGAAGTCTCTTCAGATGATCCCATGATCGCAGTAGCGCCAATGAAGCGGAAAGGAACGCCGCAAGAAGTCGCCGATGCCGTCTTATTCCTCTGCAGTTCTAAGGCGTCTTTTATCCACGGCGCCTCGTTGTCCGTTGACGGCGGCTACGTTATCAACTAAGGCCGAGCCTCATTGACTCCCTTGGTGTAACCTGTTGAATAGCAAGAATAAGGATGGCCGAAAGGAAATAAATAGATAGGAACAGGAAAATTGCCTATAGAGAAGATTGGCCATAAAGAAGCCAGTTGAAGAGAAGCCTGGCGAACAGATTGAGATCGGAAAATAGACCTCACTGTTTCGAGCCCGTCGACAGAAAGTCGCAATGGCAATTTATAAATACAGTCACTTGTGTCCATCAAGAGTGAACTCATGGCGCTCATCTTGCCATTGCTCGGGGCTGTGTTGTCTAAGTCCTGGGAGTATCGAAGTCGAAGTAAGGGCAAAATGTAGTACGCGTAATGTTGCAGTCTTGGCAGAAAATAACTAAAGTCGAAATAACAAAGTCTCCGAAACGTTTTCTACTTGTTGCGCAACGTTCGGGCGGTGATCTTCTCATGGTATCTATCCTAGTATTAGAATAGAAAGACTAGCGCAATACGACGCCAGTCAAAGTACCCGAAAAGTCTCCATGATCTACACTCTCACTATACTATATGTAAGACGCCTTTCGCTCGCTACATTGGAATAACAATCTAAAGCAATCCAGATGAAAGCCCGATCCAGAATAACCATCGCTAAAAATGACATCTATAACACCAACAATCCTCATCGTCGGCGCAACCGGCCAGACGGGAAGCGCAACAATCGCAGCCCTCGCCTCAACCCCCAACCCGCCCCAAATCCTCGCCCTCACCCGCTCCCCATCCTCTCCCAAATCACAAGCCCTCCTCAAACTATTCACAGATCGTCAATCATCAGTATCCTCTTCAACAATAACACCAACATCATCACCAATGACCCTCATCCAAGGCACACCCGAGAACCCGACCCCCATCTTCGCCTCCCACCCAGACATATCCGCCCTCTACCTCGTAACCGTCCCACCCGGAGACGAAGCGCAAGCCATACCCCTCATCGACGCCGCAATCGCCCACAAGATACCGCACATCGTCTTCTCGAGCGTCGACCGCGGGGGCGACGAGCGCTCGTGGACGAACCCGACGCCCGTGCCGCACTTTGCGGCCAAGCACCGCGTCGAGGTCTACCTCCGCGACAAGACGCGCGGCACGCAGACCAGGTGGACGATCTTGAGGCCGGCCGGGTTCATGGATAATTACCGTGCCGAGGCGGGGGTTATGGGCTCCGTCATGGGCGGGCTGTGGGCGACGATGCCGGCGGGTGGGAGGAAGATGCAGCTTGTTAGCGCGAGGGATATCGGGCTCTTTGCGGCTCGGGCGCTGATAGAAGGTCCTGGTACGGAGGATGGAGGAGGAGGATGGGGTGGTAGGGCGCTGGGGCTCGCTGGTGATGAGATCGGTTTCGACGAGGCGGAGGAGGTGTTTGAGAGGGTTGTGGGGCAGAGGATGCCGAGGACGTGGGGGGTTGTCGGTCGGGGCGTGAGGTGGGCCTTTGAGGATGCCGGGAGGAGTATGGAGTGGTTTGAGGAGGAAGGGTATAAGGCTGATGTTGCGATGTTGAGGGGCATGGAGCCGAGGTTGCAGACCTGGGAGACGTGGTTGAGGGAGAGTAGTGGGTGGGTGAAGGATGATGAGGAGTGAAAAGGGGGTTCAGAGAGGCTCAATGGAGTTCAGCGATGATGTTTGATACCATTTTCTAGGGGTCTAAAGAGCGCCGAAGACTATAGATTTCCATATATGTCAGATCTCTGCTTGAATTGGATATGATCATTAAGTAAATATGAGGGACGGGCTGAAAAGGAATGCCTGTTCTAGCTATAGCCCTGTACGTCGCCTCTTTCCTGAACACAGGTCATGGTAGGCTCTGAGATGGAAAGTGTACGCGAGCCCAATCCACTGCGAGGGACGCCTCGGAATACCTGCAGGATACCCGCGAGGCTCTATAGCCGATGAATCATCGCCAGCTCCCAACAACAAGTACCTGGGCCGTATGGTCGAGGGGTTCATCGGGCTGCAGAGGCCCCGGTTAGACAGTGAAGACTCCTGTCTATTTCGGGATCCAAGTTCGATTCCTCGATCGGTCGGACCATTGTTGTTTTTTGTCTTTTTCTTTTTCTCTCTGTAAGAAAACCAATAGAAGGCATGCTTTCCTAGGCAAAAAGGGGGTATCATTACTAAATCAAAACGCTATGAGTGAGTCGAATCCATCTCTTCTTCTTTTTTACTTTTTGTCCTCCGGGGCAAATTCTCACGAAGACGGGCCAGGCGTCGTAGCCGGCGTCGCAATCTTGCTCTTCTTTCTCTTCGGCTTCGGTCCGTTGGGCGTCTTGGGACTCTTGCCCTCCTTACCCTCCTTCTTGGCCTCCTCCGCCAACTTAGTATTAATCACCGGCTTGGGCTGTGCCGACGATGGCGGAGGCGGCGGCGCAATCTTGTCCTTGCGCCCCGTGCTTGCAAAGTGGAAGTCGCCGGGCCTGCCCGTGATCGGATTCTCGTCAAAGTAGTCGCCGCCGTGGCGCATATGGATCGCAAAGGACTCCTCCGCCAGCCTGTCCAACGCGTTGGCCGTCGAGTCCTTTTTGCTGTTGCTGCCTGTTTTGCCGCCCGCCGAGGTCTTGCTGCCGTTCGTTGCGCCTTCGGCGGCGGGTGTGTCTGCTGCTGCCGCTGCCGCTCCATCTTTCGCGCGGGCGAGGGCTGAGGGGGGCGTCGGTTGGGTGTAGACGTGGCCTAGGGAGGGCGTCCACTTGCGTACGCTGTCGGTCGCGGGAAGAACCTTTCTCATTGATTCGGCAATTGATTCCTAGCATTGTGTCAGACTCCATCATCCTTCAAGAAGAATGCTATCTCTCGTGGGAGAGAGGGAGGGAAGTGGGGACTTACAATCCTCGAACTGAGAAGATCGCCCAGCGTCGGCGCCTGATAGATATTCTCGCCGACGACAAAGTAATACGCCAATGGCTTCGTCTCCATGCGCCCGCGGTCGAGGTTCTTCTGCCTCGTCTGCTTCACAATCGTCCACACGCCCGTGCCCATGACCATGTCGGCGGGCGCGTGCAGGACCCTGAACTCGAGGCCGGCCATCTTGTCGAGCTCGCTCTCGAACGCCTCGCGCGTGGCGAGGTTCTTGAGTAAGGCCGGGTTGAACATGGCCTGGTTCGTGATGACGGCGTTGTTGGACTGGCGGTCGAAAAAGGGCGACTCGGCAAAGTAGAAGAGCACGCTGTTGGAGTGGATGCCCTGCATCGAGGCCGCGATATCGGGGGCGCGCCATTGGATCTCGTCCAGGGGCGGGTCGTTTGGGTTGGCCATTGTGGAGGGGGGGATTCGGTCGTTGGAGGAAGGTATGTCGAATGAGTTGTTGACGAGTCGTTTTGTGCTGGGTATGCGTGGGTGACGTTCGGAGGGCGGATTGCGGAGCTTTTTGAGCCGGAGTGGAAGCTCTCCAACTTTTGTATCGTGGGGCCGGAGCTTGTTCGACTGCAGGGGCTGAATCGACAGGGGTTTTTTTGCCCGGGGGGTGGGGGGGAGCGTGTCATCACGTGATAGTCCTGCCTACCGACCATCTTCAAGCTTCAAGACCTTCAATTTGAATGGAGCCTCTCCAACGACGACCATTGTCAAACCTAACACCATCAAATACCATTAATACTCAACGGAAATCCCTTACCAAAAAATTTCATCACGAGACAATCAAAGCACCGCTACCCAAATCAAGAACTCAAAGCAAATCGAAACCGCCCCCGAAAATGGACCTCCTCTCGAGCGTCCGCAAATCCGGCTCCCGCGGCGGCGTCAACTTCAGCTGGGACGAAGTCGCCAACTCCTCCCACCGCGAAAACTACCTCGGCCACAGCCTCAAAGCCCCCGTCGGCCGCTGGCAAAAGGGCCGCGACCTCAACTGGTACGCCAAGGGCGACGGCGACGACGCAGGAGCGGTCGAAGGCGAGACGGAACAAGAGAGGCAGGAGCGCGCGCGCAAGGAGGAGCTGCGCAAGATCAAAGAGGCCGAGGAGGATGCGCTCGCGCGCGCGCTGGGATTACCTGTGCCGCAGCGGGATTCGTCCGGCGCGAATGCCGTTGAGGTGAGCGGGGCAAGGGGGATCGGTGGTGCTGGTGCTGGTGATGCGAAGCCTGTAGAGGAGGAAGGGGCCAAGGGCGGGCTCGTTGTCAGTGAGAAGAGAGAGCGCAGGGATCGGAATGAGGATAGGCAGAGAAGGCGGAGGCGGAGTCGGAGTCGTAGCCCCCGGCGAGAGAGGAGGAGGGATGGCGAGAGGAGGCGGAGTCGGGAAAGGGACATGGATCGCGGGGAGGAGAGGCACCGCCATCGCCGTGGTGAAGGACGGGAACACGGTGGTCGAGAACGCAGGGATCGCGACCGTGATGAGGGACGGGAGAGGCGGCATCATCGTAAGGCGAGAAGCCGGAGCCGTGAGGGTGGTGAGCGAGAGCGCGGGCCGAGAGAGCATCGACGGCGGAGCAGGAGCAGAGAGGGTCAGCGGCCGCGGTCGAGCGACCGCCGACGTAGTCCGGATGAGCGCCGTCGATAAAGGTCGGTAGACTGGTGAGCGTGGTGAGACCGAAGAGACAGAACAATGATACCCACGTCGCTTCTGTTGCGCAAAGAAGCACATTATACAGTTCACAAGAACATACACTCTCAAAATAGCGTTAAACGAGAACCAGCAAGCAACTTGTGCCTGGTTATTTGAATAACATACACAATGTCACCATATGCAAATCCATAGCCCGTTATGGCTTGGTAGAGACCCTTTGACTAGTGACTTTGCGAAGATAGAATCCCAGTATCGGCCTCATCTTCAAACTGGTTTGCACCCAGCCACTGGGGCTCACATAAACGCCGACATCTACCTCAGTGCTCCTGCTTTTCATAAACCTGAACGCCGGTCCCAAATTACTACAGGACCCTCCTTGACAGTTCGAAAACGCAAAACAGCTCATGCGCTGAAGGATGTTACGTAGTACTGTGAGTAGTCAGCCAGTGTTCTCCCCTAAGCGCATGCAAGGGATCTCTTACGGTCAGTACGGCGTCGTCTGCCGTGGCATCGTCATACTGCGGCACGTAAACATACAGAATCAAAGCATGGTCGTCTGCGAATGCAGCAACGACTCTCCCCTCGAGCCGCCCTACACTCAACACCCGGCTCCAGTCCTTGCCATCTACCCGCACCGTTGCCCACTTCTCCGGGCCACCCTCCTTAAACTTGACGCTTGGGTGCTCTTCAACGGGCATCTCCAGCTGCGTGGGGTCCAACTCCGGATTGACGAGTCCCGACCATGTACTCGAGACGTCGACGGCCTCGGTGGCGATCCGCAGCTTCAGGTTGCCAAACATGTTGGCGCTAAGCTCCAGCTTGGGGCTCACGCGGGAGTTTGTGCCGGACGAGAGCGCGAGCTTGGTGAAGCGGTCCGAGATGGCCTTGAGCTGGAGCAGAGGCGGCATGGTGATGTGCACGTCTGTCTCGCGCACCGTGGGCTGCATGATTGTCTCTACCGTCTCTGGATGCAGCACCCGGACGGGAATGTCCTGGGTGATGATCTTCTCGCGCTCGCGGCGCAGAGACGTCTCTAGATGCTCAGCGGCGAACCCCTGGTCATCCTCGTCAAAAGGATCATTTTCAAGACCGGCGTAGGCGGCGTTGCGGCCTGGGAGACCTGACCCCGAGGAGGCGTTCGTCGTGGTCGTGATGGTCATGGACAATACGGGGACTCCATCCTTCTTGGTGAGACGCAACGAGGCAGAGGTGCTGTTGAGCGCAGAACGTAGGGCACGTTGGAGAGGTTGCAATGGTAGCTCTAGGTTGATGGTGTTGTGGTCTTCGGCCGATTGGATGTGGTAGCTGTCAAAGATGAAGTCCATGGGTAGAGAACTGGAGCCATGATTCAGCAACCACAGCTTCTCAAGACGCTACCAGAGTCAGAGTGCAGCAATCTTACGACCAGACTTGAGAACCCGTGTCGGGAATGACGGTGAAGCGTGCCGTTTCATCGTCTAGGCGAACCCATGCGATCTTCTCGAGCGAGTTGAGGGCAGCTGTGAGCTCTGTAAAGCAAAGGGAACGGTCAGAGAGTCAACAAGGGAACCCGAGGTTGCAGCAAAGCCGGCCGGCCGGCAAGCAGGTAGGCAGGCTTGGGGTGTTGTGGGTTCAAACGCACTGGAAAAGGTACGGATGTTCTTGAGCTCCGTTTTGAATCGCATTTTCGAAATCTCGATCTCTCAGCGAGATGGCCGTCCGTCCGTCCTAAATAAAAACCTTATAGGTACAGGGAGTCACACAAACAGAAAGAAACACCCGGCTGCAGTTGAGGTACGGGCGGAGAGGTATTGGGGGGGGGGGGGGGGAGAGCTGATTACCTCTTTTGGTGTAGACGCGTAAAGCGGAAAGAGAAACGACGCGATCTTGCCTTTCAGAGGTGCGTTGCAGTGTGCGGTACGCCGCCGTGCGTGGTGCTGCCACTGGCAGGGAGAAGGCACCGAGCAAAGGTGGTACATGCCTGCCAATGCCTGCCGCCACGCTGCACTGCAGGCGCTGCCAGCAAGATGGTCTGCAGAAAACGGCACGGGAGTCTTTAGCGCGGGGCAACCACCCCTGCCTAGCGTGTCCATATTGGGAGACCTCACCCCATTCACAGTTCGCGCCTACCCCGCCATCACCTGAGGTCCCCGGGGATGCGCAGAAGGGAGAGAGGGTGAGATCGTTTTTGAGGGCCGGCCAGTTGGATAATGTCCCGACAGGCTTCACTTTCCCCCCTTTCGCTTCTTGATTCAAGATCTCTGGGAGTATGGTGGATGCTATGGACGTCAGAGGGTGTATTGAGTCTCCCAGAGTGACGTCGACAGGTGTGGAGTGAAGCCTAGGTGGTTGGTGATTTTGCATCACCGTGAAGCAGTCCATGTCGGTCGAGAAAGGCTGGCTTCTAGATAGCCTTGAGGTTTCATTTCTAATACCCTATGGGAAAATAATTGTGTTTAAGATTGTTGTGAAAAGCTCGAAATTCGTTACAGGTATTTGGACAAATGAGATCCGTCACCTATACCATCTGCTGTCTTATAACAAGACTGATGAGGCTTCGCCCAAGTCATGATGCTCCCATCAAACTATTGTGTAGAGACCTGGCTTGGTTATCATAATGCCAGTCCTACCAGCCGCTATGGTGCCATAGTCTACCGGCCTTTAGAAGCCACCGCCGTGCATTCCTATCCCTTGTACATTCATCGTTGTGTACGCCGGCGGTGTCAAGCCGAACTTCCCAGCACTAGAGAAGTCGCCATGTCTCTGCTTAGGTAGGCCCCGCGACGTTGGTATCTCCGGTCTCACCAAGAGACGGAAACCACACCCACTGGTGTTATTTCTTTGGCGATTTCGATCCAGAAGCTTTCCGATCTTCTTGGATAAAATGTTCGGTCCACTTCCTCCTCCATACTTCACGATCCTCCCAAGGCTCTTTTGTTGGTGTTTCTTCCTGTTCCTTGGGCACCTCTTGAGGAATGGACGCCATGTTGTGATCGAGCGAGTGGATGAGGGAGTTGAGCCGCGGTAGAAGCTGACCGCGAAAATATTTGGATGTTTTGCGAGTACGTTGTAGTTGCGTGTGACATATTTCGCACGGCATCCAGCCCCAGTACATGTAATTGCGCGTCGCCTTTGTCGTCGGCACCACGGGATGCCCACAGTCGCACCGCATGCTCACCCTACACCAAGGGCAGTGCGGCTCATCGACGCTGGCGACGCCGAGCCAGTGTTGTATGCAGTCGCCGCCGAAGCGATGGCCGCAGGGGAGATATCGCCAGACCTCCTTGTCGCCCTCCTCCTTAGCCTCGCCTACTTTTTCGTAACATATTGCGCAGCAGGTGTCGTCGGCAGCGGGATTCGAAGCCATCTCCTGCTTCCGCATAACAGATTTGAAAATGTTCATCGTCTCCAGCGGGAAAGGGACATGAGATTCGCTATAAGACCCAGCGTCGGAAACAAGAAAACTTGCTAGAGGAAAACGAGTCCCGGACTAACCGAAGCCTTTGTTGCTAGACCAAACGGCGGTCGAACAGTGATGAACAAAGACGATGAGGAACATAACAAAGAAGGGAAAAGGAATACAAACACCCGGACAGGAAGAGCCACTGACTTTAGGAAAGCTAATCGTGCCTTGCAGATGGATGGCTCGACATTGACCTCCGCCGTTGGACCGTTCCGGATCCTCTGCCGGGTCAGCCATGTCTTTCTCAGGAAAAAAGGCATGGTGCACGGAGCCATACCTTGAGTACAAGGTGTGCCGCCGACTCGCTGGGCTAT